AATGCTCACCTTGACCTTATTTGTAAGGAAGAAAAAGAGGAGCACAAATGAATTTCCTTTTTTAAATGGGGCTCCTGAAAACTTTAACTCATCTAACCAATGGTCTTTGTGCAGAGTGTTGCATATTATGTGTGCATCTGAAGAAGAAAAGGGGGGGTTGAAATGAAAAGCTATATCAGACCGTGGATGTGTGCTGCAACCACACTGGAAATCAATCTGAAATCTTGTTGCACTGCTGTCAACGCCTCCTTGTATGAGGATCATACGCCCAGGAAAAAGACCCCCAAATATCTTACATGCGTAGGGGATGATCGGATAGAAGACAGGCAGCTGCAACAAGAAGGAAAGGGGGTTGAACCTTTAAATACCAAGCCCAACCAAAACTTTTTGTTTTAAAAACTTTTAATTGTGGTGTTCCCACTTCTTGTGGTGCCTGATACCTGGACAAGAAGTGAAATCTTCATAATTAAGCAGCCCATAGATTGATTCCCCCATCAACACAGTCATTGTTGATGGAGGAATGCCTCTCACAGCACTATTGTGTTCTGCAGGAGGGGAGCCAAACAGAACATGATGATTACCGATAGCGGCTATAGCCACCGGAAGTAATCAAATGTAAAAAATCCAACAAATGGTTGTACCTAAGTTGATCGATGGGTCAGATTGGGTACAATCAGTCAACCCATACATGGATCAAATCTTGGACTGTCCCTGCTGAACTGGCCAAATTTCAATCCATGTGTGGCCAGTTTTTGGATAGTTACAAATTATGACTAAGGTCATAAGCCCCTCCATAAACAGCTATTTTTTCAGTGAGGGCTCTCATTTGACAGCTTTCTCCCATATTGCTGTTTGTGTGTCACCCATGAAATAGACAGAAAAGGATGGTAACTCTCTTCAAAAGGAACAAAGTGGACACATAAAACTTGAATGAACTTTTAATTCTTTATTTTCTAGCTGTATACAAAAATATAGAAAAAACTGAACTTCAAAACATTTCTATATGTGAATTTGAGAGTTCCAAAAAATTGAGTTGTTTCCCACCCTAAAATGTATTGGTGATTTTGTTCAACTGCAGCCAGATTAACACTTACAATTACACTTGCAGTTGGGGGGGTGCGGTAAGCACGCGAATGAACACCATTTTTATTGACCCCCCCCAACAACTCCCCCTTAAGCTGCAAAGGTTGCGCATGGGGATGTACACATGCCATTGCCCTTATGCACTGCTTCACAGCCTCAACCCTTTGAACCTTACTTATTCAAGTGACTGGTGCCACACCGTAACTGCCCCTTTCACTTAAAAGGTTCATGTTCTGCGCTTCGTGGTGGTGCTGTGCAGGTTAAAACTGGTGATAAAGAGGCAACAGAACGCCTCCCCACCTCCTGTCAATTACCCTCTGAAAATTGATCTACCTACTTTCTGCAGTAATAGCTTCTTTAAAAAAAAATGCAAATTATTAAGCATTGTTTTAATGGGTACTCCAAAGCAAATAAAGCCCCATTCATTTCACAAATACCATATGCTAAGTTCATGTGACCGGCCTCTCTTCCTATCACGGAGTGCTCTTGGCAGTGGTATGCAGTGAGGATTTCAACTGTAGCATTCATTTTATGACTGCTTTATAAATACTGCATGTCTAGCGAAGAGGTAGTGAGATCAATCTCTATTTTGATTAAAGTTCATAGAGTCTTATCCATCAAATTGTGATATAAATATTGCATGCTAAAACTGATATATCAGTTGATATACAATAGCTGTATTATATACAATATATTATAAAATTGCTTTATTCTTCAAGGGTGGTAAGTTATTTATCAGGTCAAAGAGTTGTAATCGGGCATTTAATTCATTCTAGCTTTTCACCTACTCAATCAAATACCCAGGCTGTTATTCTCATGGTAAAAGGGCAGCAAACACATGTTCCCTGCTACGTCAATTGTAGTCCTATGTACCCTTCATTGCTTGAAGGGTGCTTTTAGAGGGGTTCCCAAAAATGCTTATAAAGATGTCCCAACATAGAAAGTATTCATGGGTTTCAGTTACCACCCAAAGGGGGTAAAGAAGGGCAAAGCACCCTTCCCTAGTAAACAGTAAAAGGATCTTTCAAACTCCTTTTACCTTCACCTGTAGTGAAACAATATACAATAAAACACCACATTCATTTAAAAAATATTTATTACTTTCCATTTCACAAGAAAATCATACAGAGTTGTCTGTGTCTGGTATTTGGTCTTCACTGAGATCTCTCCCTGGGGGATGGTTTTGAGGGCATAATACGCTGCACCATATACCTGTTCAGATATTCCTGCAAATTATGTCAGCATGTCTGGTGTGCCAAACTGATATCTTGGAACGCAGTTTTAAAATACACAAAATGAATGCAGATTTGTGATTTTAATGCATATTTAAATGTATTTTTTTTAACATACAAGCAGTGTAAGTACCTAAACTTCAGCCTCTTGCCATCCCTTGTACAACAGCATTCAGACTCAGGAACAGAAAAGCAGCACATCAAGTAGAGAAACAAGCTCGCCAGTCTGCTGTTTCTAATTTGACTGTCCAGTCAAAAGGTGGGGGACAGATAAAGTCAGCCATACATTTGAAATTTGGCTGGTTCAGCAGGGGCCGGCTGAATTTCAATCCATGCATGGGTAGACTGGTTGTACACAAGTTGATCTACTGATCAACTTGTGTACAAGATTGGTGGAAATTTTTTGCACGATCAGCACTATAACTGATCAGTGTACTCTGGCGGCAAAGAAGTCTTCCCACTGTCAGAATACAATAACACAGAGGGAGGATTCCCCCAGCTACATTGAAGGTGTGCATGGAGGAAACAGGTCTTTTTTTTTTTTTTTTTTCATTCAACCCAGTAGTTGAACAAAAAGAAAATGATTCATGTATGGGCTGCCTAAGACTTGTAAGTGTTACTTATCGTATTTTTCGCTCCATAAGATGCACTTTTTTTCCCCCAAAAAAATGGGGGGGGAAAACATGTCAGTGCGTCTTATGGAGCAAATATGGAGCGGCTGGTCCGGTATTTCCGCCGCGCCGCCACCATGTCAGAATACCGGGCCGGCTGCTCGGCTCTTCTCTCCTGCAGGACCTTACCTGTTCCTCTGTCCAGTGCTGTAAAGTGTTCCCGCGCCGGCTTCTTCCCGTGCCAGCTTCTGTAACAGCTGGGTGCCCACTACGCATGCGCTGCGCTTTGTGAATGGTCCGGCGACTTCTGGGACACATGACAGGTTCCAGAAGGCGCCGGGCCATTCACAAAGTGCAGCGCTTCTCGCGCATGCGCAGTGGGCACCCGGCTGTCACAGAAACCGACGTGGGAAGGAGCCAGCGTGCCCACACTAAAGAAAGGACAACTTCAGGTAACCGCTCCCCCTCCCTCCCCAAAGGTCCGCAGTCTCTTGGTCATCCCCTGTACTGTCTGCAGTCTCTGGTCATCCCCTGTACTGCCTGCAGTCTCTGGTCATCCCCTGTACTGTCCGCAGTCTCTGGTCATCCCCTGTACTGTCCACGTCTCTGGTCATCCCCTGTACTGTCTGCAGTCTCTGGTCTAGTCTATGGTCATCTGTACTATGTCCGCAGTCCCTGGCATTTTCCCTGTACTATGTTCACAGTCTCTGGTCATCTGTACTATGTCCGCAGTCTCTGGTCATTCCCTGTACTATGTCTGCAGTCTCTGGTCATCTCCTGTACTGTGTCCGCAGACTCTGGTCATCTCCTGTACTGTGTCCGCAGTCTCTGGTCATCTCCTGTACTGTGTCCGCAGTCTCTGGTCATCCCCTGTACTGTGTCCGCAGTCTCTGGTCATCTCCTGTACTGTGTCCTCAGTCTCTGGTCATCTCCTGTACTGTGTCTGCAGTCCGTTGGTTCAAAATATTTTTTTTCTTGTTTTTCACCTCTAAAACCTAGGTGCGTCTTATGGTCAGGTGCGTCTTATGGAGCGCGAAATATGGTAACTGCAGCAGAGAAAACTCAGGTCAAAAGCCTAGTACACACAATCAGAAAATCATTTGAATAAAAGTGACCATACAATAATCTGATCGTTAGTTCATATCTTTCGTCTTAAATTGATCAAAGGGACAAGCACAAAAATTTTCTTGTGTGATACCAGATCGTACAATTTTCGTTTACAATACAAACACATTACATCAATTTAGAATTTGTATTCTGTCATGCAAGAATTGTTGGAACTTCAGTAACCTCTTCACTTTCGATATGAGACTAGCATGCAAAAAAAACAGGACAATCAATATTCTCATCGTGTATGTGGGACTTTATGCTTTACTGCATTGGACTGTACTGTGTAGAAGAGCTATGTGTATCTCAGGGCTGGATAGACAGAAATAAGAATCCTTTGGCAGGTAAAACTGCTGCCTTTTATTTAATGTGTGTATTTAGCTGTTTCCCTGGGGTCCAGCGTTAGGAATATATTTTAAAAATTAACCCTCATGAAGCTAATCTTTTTAAATGCAAAATCATTATTATAGAAAGCACAAGAGATGCCAATTCTTAACATTCATTTTAATCTAGAATTTGCTTAATATGGATGCTAAAATTTGCTTGCGGTATTACTCATCTTCATACGTTTTCTCTGGAAAAAAATTGCAAGAAAATGATGAATAATCTGAAAATTAAGAAGCAATCCCAAGGGAAATGTATTTGCATGGAACTGCTTCACATATCCATCTTAAATGAAGTCCTAAATATTCAATAGAAGCTTCTCTTGTTAAACCATATGTCATAACAGATCCACTACCTGTGTTAGTTGCATGACAATTATTCTGTACAAGGCAATGAGTGCACAATGTTTAATGTAGTTACATGACAATGGTGTACACATGATGTTGCTATAATGCAGTTATGTACTTGATTATATTAACTCATATATATATAGTGCATTAGGTATAATGTTTTGTGACAGTCCAATTAGTGCATACTGCTGCTTCGTGTTCTCTATTTCATTAGAAGTGTACGTGTCTTGCAGACCCTGAGAATTAATGTCTGTTACTGGAAAGAGAAGAATCCTGGGAGACATGGTCTGCTGCAAAACTTTCCAGCATTCCTTGGTGTACATCTAAATGGAGAAGAGCATGAAGTCTATGGCCTACCTTGCCAAGAATATCCAGAGCTAGTTAAGGTAAAGAAGCATCACAAGGACAACTGGTTCTGGAGCCTAAAATATGTTAAAGAAGACATTTTCTTTTTTTTCCTGTAGCCATACATCGTCCCATACAGCAAAATATTATATATCACAGATGGAAAAGGATCACTTGTTTCTGGTCATGATTAATGGAAGACTCTTTCCATCCCCCAACCTCACTCTGGTCTGTGCCTTACTCCTCGCTCTCTCTCTCTCTTTTTCTCTTCCAACCCCTATGCACAGGGGTTGACACCATTATAGACACAAGCACATGACTAAGTCTACTACTAGACTTCATTGTAAGAGCCTCTGTACATCTGGTGTATGTAAAACCAGATTCCTGAGCACAGGTCTGAATTTTGTATACCTGCCTAGCTGAAGCTGGTCATATACTAGTAGATTTTCAAACGTGCGAATGAATATTCATGCAAATCTTCCTATAAAAATTCTTTATGCATTTGATGACAAAATCCACGTACACTGTTAGAAATTAAAAAAAAAATGCAAAGTTCTATCCTGCTCCTTAAGCAGGCCATAGATTATACAGTTTTCTTTCCTTCCAACATGTGGGAAGGGAAGAAAATCGCTCAATTTCTCCATCAGCACAGTCAGTATTTATGGGGGAATCCCTCTTGCAGAGCTACTGTTTTCTGCCAGCAGGGAGCATTCCTGGTCAACAGAACACAAGGATTACTGCTAACGGCTTTAGCAGTAATCGCATGTAAAAAAAAATCTGACAGGCTGTTTGTACCCAATCAATTGATGGATCCACTTGGGTACATCCAGCCTACCAATAAATTGATCAAACCTTGGCTGGTTCCTGCTGAACTGACTAAAATTTGATCCGTCTATGGACGGGTTTAGAATTTTCTCATCACTGGGTTGAAAACCAAAGTCAGTTTGACCCCATGAATGATTAGAAAATTTAATTAACTTTTTTAAAATAAAAATTTCAAATGAAATTAGATGAGCAAATGATCAGCTTAAGACTTGTCCTGCTTTTTCTCACCCCTTCCTGATCACGATCGGATTTTGCTTCCTCTTTCTACCTCTTCGTGGCTTCATTCTTCTCCTTTACGCCATGCTGTCAATGATCTGCTCCCACTTCTTTTTAGTCTACCCTTACTTTATATATTTTATCAACAAATAAAATGAGTTACTAAATATGACAGTTTTCTATCAATTGTTAGTCTATTTGTTTCTTTTATATTCACATTTGATAATTTATGCTGTTCCAGATTTGTTTTCATGGAGGAAATGAGGCTGACCCTGAGGAACGTGAGCTTCAAACTAAACCACCCCAAATTCCAGACATCCAGATACTTTGCAACTTCATCAGTAAATACCTTCCTGGATTGCACCCCAAGCCTGCTGTGATAGAACAATGCATGTACACGGTATGCCTATTCTTAAAATAAGTATACAAGTTTCCATAGCAAACTGTGGTTGCAAACTGTGGCCTTTGGTAAAACATATTCTTAGGAATTAAATTGCAAACCTCAGTTTGCTAGTTTTGGAAATGTGCAAAATAAAAACCCAGATCACATAGCCTAAAATCTAGCAATGCTTTCAAAGCCGAGATTGCATTTGAAAACATACAGTTTACAAGTGTGCAAATAAGTTAGAGTATTAGATACACACAAGGAAACATTCATTTTAAGAAATGTTATTAATCACACTAATGCATAATAAATTCAGCAAATTTCACTTACCTCCAACATCTGGAACAACCTCTTTCTACAACATTAAAGAGGATATATTCTATGGAAGCCATGCTGTCTGCAGTTGGTCTTTGCCCAACTCACAATGCTTCATTCCATGCTGGGTCTTGGAGAAACCATGTCAGACCTCCCACCTCATCCCCAATGACCGGCTGGTGGGGGAAGCACAGAAACTTCAAATGAATGGAGCAGGATTATGGAGAGCCTTGCACTACAAGTCATCAGGAACTTCCTCACTAGCAGGCTCCCAGAAGGACAGTGTGTAGCACAGTAGTGACATCTCACTCCAAATCTTTTAAGAAACACCACAGTCATCAGAGACAGGAGTGAGTGATACTGTATGTCTTAGATGATCTCACACTGCAGATATGCAGCCATTAGGCTTATAGAACAGTAATGTGTAGGCACAGCCACATGTCAGGAAGTGCACTGTTACTTCTCATGAAGAGTTCAAGGCAAATGGTAGATCTCAAGGTACCTGTTTAGCCACAATACATATTTAGTCTTGGATAAAATGGGGAAATGAAGGGGAAATGCTATATAATGACAACAGTGAGGTACTACTGTATTTCTTCATCTGACACCAACAGTGGGGCATAATTCCCCCCACTGATATAAACAATGGAACACTATTTCTCTCACTGACACCAAAGATGGGGCTCTATTCCTCCCACTGACACCAATGAAGAGTCACTATTCCTTCCACTGACACCACTGATGGGGCACTATTCCTTCCACTGACTCCCAGCAATGAAACACTATTCCTTCCATTGACACAAACAGTGGAATACCATTCCTTCCACTGACATCAACAATGGGACACTATTCCTTCTAATGACACCCACAATGGAACACTATTCCTGATACTGACACCAACAACTGACCACAATTCTATCTACTGACACCAGCAATGAGACTCTATTCCTCCCACTGACACCAACGATGGAGCACTATTCCTTCCACTAATGGCAACAGTGAAACACTGTTCCTTATACTGACACCAACAATTGAACATTATGTCTTCCACTGTCACCAGCAATGGTGCTCTCTTCCTACCACCGATAATACAATGGGGCATTCTTCCTCTTACTGACACCAACACTGGGGTACTATTCCTCCTCCTCCTACTGACCACAGGTGCTAAGTAATTTTTTTACTTCCATTGACCAGCAAGCCCAATACATTGTTTATTGCCACAGCATTTTTCTACCCCCGATGGCCATAGTCTGTCCCCCCTAAAGTCTGAAGACAATAACCTGACCTTCTGTTTCGAAAGTTAGGTGACCCCTGTTCTAGATCTTTCCTCTCCATCCTTACTGTATTTAGCCAACCCCATTAATGTGGAATTTAGCTTTCAGTCATGTCAGCTCCACATCACATGTGAGAGATACCTAAGGGTGGTCTGCATGCTAATACAGTCTGCCTAGGAACACCAATTACTCTAAATTGACCTCTATCCATCAAAGTATTTTGATATTTGCATAACTCCTGCCAAGAGCCTACCCACTGCTTGCATTAGTGCTGATGTCTCTTGAGAGGAGTATTGAGGAAGGGAGCTGTGATAATTTCAAGAAGCTATGTACATGAATGCAAACGCATGCGTAGATGCCACACATATGAGATACTGCAGCGTTTGTCAGAGTGAGACTCTACACTGATGACCTGTAAAGGCTTTTAAAGTGTCACCTATGCAAAATTTCAAGTACTGCAGTTTTTCACAATTTTAAGACTTGACATTTTTGGTATCTATTTACTCTTTTATATTTTACCAAAATGTAGGTGTTATATTTTGTTTGCGTACACTAAAATTAATTTTAATGTATTTTTGCTCTGAAAATTTGCATTTGGTAAACAGCTGCACAAATATCGTGAAACAAAAAAATTGCAACTGATACTATTTTGTTTTCCAAGGCCTCTGATTTTAATAAATATATAATGTCTGGGGGTTTCAAGTATGGCAATTTTGTTTAGCAAAAAATGCTTATTTTAACGTGTGTGAAGCATTACAAAAATTGCCAAGAAACAAAGTGGTTTAAAAAAGTATTTTTAATTCAGATAATAGGAAACAAAGTATGGTAACATTGTGCATAAGTCCTTCCATCATGGTTTCAATAATATGTCTTTATTAGATGTAGCATTGTACATCTTTATTCATTATGGTCAGGATTAAAAATTACATTTTCAAAAGTATTTTTAATTCAAGTAATATATGTAATATGCATGTTTTGTTTTTTTTTTTTGAAGAGTTTTAAATAGTAGTTTTTATCACAATGTTTTTCATTTCCTTTTTAGAATACTCCTGACAGAAATTCCATCTTGGATTACCATCCTCTTTACAAGAATATTGTCATAGGCTCTGGATTCTCAGGTGAGCTGGGAAAGTGGAAGATGGTATGTTATCCTGGAAAGTTTAGCTTGCAGAGTACTGTTAATTCTTCAACATTTGTTCTTCTTCTATAGGTCATGGCTTCAAGCTTTCCCCAATAGTCGGGAAGATATTGAGTGAGCTCAGCATGGGGAAGGAACCTGTATATGATCTTACACCATTCAGTATCGCTCGTTTCAAAACCCCAAGTGCAACTTTGTGAGATGAAGAACAATTTTAAAAAAAAAAGTTTTTTTATGGATACTTTATGGATTTTTAGTATCTGGTCACTATTCCACCAGTACAAGTTGAAGAATGCAGTACAGGCAGTAAGGGTCTTACTTGTGAGTTTTGGTGCATTGCAGTTGCTCTTTGGTGGGGTTGCAATACAACACATGTTCAATAGGGATGAATGGTGCCTAAAATGAACAGGCGGGAATAAAGCCTTAAATGATATGGAAACCATAAGAACAATCTGTTCTTATTTGATTTGTTAAATATACAATTAATAGTGTTTTTTTATGTCTGTTTGATAAATACAAACGGATATCCATTGGTCTTGCCAGAAATCCTATGAGCACGTCCTGTGTCCTCTGCCTCTACTAACTGCTATTAGTTACATTATTCCTATATATCTCATAGTACTGCAAAACGGTGGCTTGCTTTGTTATAGAGAATATAAAAGGGGTAGAGTTCTGTAGTCTTTTCCTGTCTCTGTTTCCCTGATACAGTACAGTGAGTGTGTATTGTCACCACATGAATTTAATTACTGGCAGAATCAACTGGTGAAAATGAGTAAGAAAAGTTTTAAAAATAGAAAGCTAGTGTAGCCACCTCAACTAAGGACTTGTTTGGGGATTTAGGTATGTTTTTTATTATAGACACCTAAATAAGGAAACGTATAATCATCAGATATGAACTGTATAGTTTGTGTGGCTAACATTAGTAACTGCATAATAGGCAGAAGCACACTTTCAAGCTGTTATATATTAAATCCCTCCAATACCAAACAGCTTTGTGCCGGTATAACAACTGTGGAGCTAGGTTCTATTGGATTCAATACAACTTGTATTTTTTTTGTATAGCAACCATTACCAGATAATTGGCTGGATGCAGTGAATGAAAAGGAGCTTTGAATCATTAATTTAGTCCAATCTTTGTAACACCAAAACCTCACTAATTTAGTTTTAATGTTATACTTGTCAAATACAGTACTTCATTGAATTTTGTAGTCTTTTTTTGTGGAAAATCTTGAAAATATACAATTATTTCTTCGAGTACTTTACACTTTATTTTATTATGATATCAAACAGTCTTGGGTATAAAAGAGCGGCAATGCAAGTTATACAAATACATGAATCCAGATTTAAAGAGGGCGTATCATTAAAAATGTTCACCTAATGTGAATCAACAGGACATTATCACCAAATCACAATTATTCATTTAAATCGAGCTATTTCGTAGCATAATTAGACACATTTTAAAACAGGTTATCTACATGTCTAACGCACATCACACATCACATACAGTAAATAAGGGATTTAAAGTGTTACTAAACCCAGGACCCTGCATTCAGTATTTGGTCTCCCAGCGTACACAGAACATGGAAATGCAATTATTTTAGTAAATATAAACTGCTAAATATAAAACAAAAAAGTGCAGCGCTAAAATCAAATAGATAAAAATGCAAAGTTCGTGTCACTAATAGCGACAATGAAAATTTCCAAAGATGACAGAGAGTCCACATGAAGATCAGATATGATCGTGAAACATATACATGGGGGGACTTGATCCGAAGTAGTGATAAAAAGTGAATAAATTGCGCACTCACCAGAGGTGCGTAAATGATACGCCTTATAGATATATCTGTCTCATCAGGTGTGTGCGGGGTCATCAGTAAGGTCAGGATCCTCTATGCCTACGGGTCACGTCTCAGATATGGCACTCAGGTGTATAGCACGTTGGAAGGTCCCTTAAAGGTGCAGCTTCTGCAGGTGTAGGCTCTCAGTGAAGAGAGCACAATAAGGGACACCACATAGCGATGATACCGTAGGAACAGTTTTATTCGCAAATAGGTGCATACAGATGTGTGCATAAGAAAGAAAAATCACTGACCATATAAAATTCAGGATGGCCTGCACCCTTTGATGATGAGCTTTGCTCGAAACGCGTCAGCGGGGCTACAGTAGCTGGACATTCTACCACCGCTGGTGGCCATCATGAATTTTCTTCATGTGGAATCTCTGTCATCTTTGGAATTATTTCATTGTCGCTATTAGTGACAGGAACTTTGCATTTTTATCTATTTGATTTTAGCGCTGCACTTTTTTGTTTTATATGTTATATTGAAGGTGTTGTTTGGTTACCTTTTGTGTTCTAGCCGCTACTATACATTCTTGATAGCGCTCATATGCTTACTCTTTTATAAACTGCTAAATACCTTTTCTCATCAGCAGTTAGAGCAGGCTTGTGACTTCTATCAGTGTTCAGCAGAGCAATGGTTAAAGGTTAGAGGAGGAGTTTTCATTCTGCTCTAGGAGGATGCAGAACCCATGACCTCTGTCTGGACAGTGCTGATTGACCCTGTGCTGATCACATGCACTCTCCCAAGAAAAAAAAAACTCTCTAGCAATGCACACCAAACTGGGTATGTGCAGAGTGACTCCACACGCTATATCTTATCCGGAGATAAGAGGGAGGCACTGGAAGAAGGGGAGGATCAGAGAAGTCAGGATCAAACAGCCTTTTTACACAATGCAGAGGATTAACCCCTTAGGTTCCACAGTGAGTATAACAAGCATGCTTTAGTGTATATACATAGTGATTTTACTGTTGTGGGTTTAGTAACACTTTAAGGACAGTGTGTGAAGCCATGCAGATCATTCCTTTATGACGACTTTTGATACATCCAGAACCACTGGATTACAGCACAGATACAGCCTGATATTATAGAGGCATTTACTCTAAACTGCATATGAAGCAACTAAATGAATAAACCTACCAGTAATACTATTAATTATGATGCAGCTAGTAAAAGCTCTATTAATTTGTAGTGTGACTTCAGGAGACTTATACCAACAAGCTTACATTTAACTCGTTGTGCAAGTGAGTAACATGTGTTTTCTATCTCCTACAGGTTAATTACACTTTGTTTAAGCTATATTTCTTCAGTTTTGTGCTTGTTCTGACATTCACTTTCTCTGTTTAGTATCCTATATGTTAGTAATAGTAATTCTCTAATACAAACTGATGAGCTTTTCCATGTGGCCTGCACTGCCACTATAAAGAAAGTAATTATCTGTATAATGTGATTGATTTCTGTTTAACACATTAAACTCAGAATGCAAGTAAGCAACATGTGTTTTCTGTCTCCTCTTTAAATACTGTATAGATACTGCAGGCTGCATCTGTCATACCTCGCACTGAGCTCACTGATAATCCTGTAACATTTACAGTTGTTTCAGGCTTGTTGGCTATCATCAGTGATGTCATTGACGTGCATGGAAACCAATCTATGGAGTAGGGCTTAGGAAGGAACAAGAATGTAGGATAGACAGTTTATGGTGTGGTGGGTTAATAGGAATTAAAAAGCCCCTCAATGACCCAGTGTGAGGAAAAGCAGAACATAAATTATCTACATGTTGCAAATCCTTCACAAATCCTTTTGAGACTTTGCTATAATATGCAAAGCTGCACCATAGACATACCTCTAGATGCGGATGTTAGAGAAACCAAAGCTAAGTACACATGGGCCAAATATCAGGCAGTATCAGGCAGTTCAACAAAAACCATCCGACATTCAGTCCATGTGTATGGCAGCTTGTTCGGCTTCTGTCGAAAGGGCATGACCGAAAAAGATCTGCCGATCGGCTTCCAATCAGCACTCTCAGCCAATGACTGAGAGTGCTGACCAGTGTGTTCTGGTGGGGGGAGGGGGGATGGGGGTAGTACACAATAGCACAGCAGGGGAGATCACTGTACTAACACTGCTTTTGTTAGTATAGCAATCTGAGCTGAACTAAAAAAGGCTTTAACCATAAATTAAAAGCGACTATTGCAGAGGATGCCTAAAATGTGACTTGTATCTTAATGTGGATATCTTGGGAAAAAGTGAACCAGCCATAGAAGCAAGAAACAAGCAGTGTAAACTCACAGTGTAGGCAAAGCCCCACTGAAAGGGAGGACTTCTGGGGTTATTTACTAAAGGCAACTAGACTGTGCACTTTGCAAAGTGCAGTTGCAAGTGCAATGGATCCAGAGCTTAGTAAATGAGATAAAGCTTCATTTTGCAAAGAATACCCAATCACATGCAAGGAAAATACAAAACAGCATTTTTGCTTTCATATGATTGGATGATGGAAGTCAGCAGAGCTTCTGCTCATTTACTAAGCTCTGGAACAACTGCTCTTGCAGAGTGCAACTGCACTTTGCAAAGTGCACAGTCAATTTGCCTTTTGTAAATCAACCCCTTAGTTTCCCTGGAGTTCAGTTTAAAGTGTAGGTCAATCCTAAGAATACATTTCTCATATTTGAATCCTTTTGGTCTGCTAAATATACCATAGAAAATGTTTTGTTAAGTGCAAAACAATTACCTGTTGACCTTGCCAGAAATCCTGTCATATTTCTGATAGTTGTCAGTTAAGGTTGATACTACAATTGAACTAGGACTACAGAACACTGTTCCCTATCTTATGGAGATAAAGAGAGGGGAAATGTTCTCTAGTCCTAAAACACATCCTCCCCTAAAGTGACAATGCTGTTGCTCCGTATTGCAGTACAGTAAGTGTTATCACTGTAGGAGAAAAATTGTGTCTGGAATTACTGACAGTATTACTGGGTGGAACTAATGCAGCCAGCACATCTAAGAACTGGTAAGCTGTAATATATTACATTTTGGTTCTTGGGTTTAGATACACTTTAGAGGCAAGTTGCTGACCGTAGCTCTAAAATTTGCTGCACCAATACAACAATTATCATGCTACAGCACTCCATGCTAGCATAATTAAATACAACTAGCACATGAAAATGGAATTTCTGACGCTATCTAATTTTCTGTTTTGACTTTTGATTCATTGGCTTAATCCTGTAAACTTGACCAGTTCGGGGGGGGTAATTTAGATTGAAAATACATCTCCGTTCTCTGGTCATTTGTAATGCCTATTAATGAATAAATCCGGCAAATGATTTCACCATTAGCATAAAGCCGCTTAGACAATTTCAGCC